CGATCAATTAATCGATTAATCGTTAACCTTAATGCTGCAAAATGCGTCTATGCAGCCCGGCATGACAGGATGTGCAAAAGAAAATAAAAAAAAAAAAAAAAAAAAAACGCTTTCTCAACAACAGCTCAGTGTAGAGTCAGAGGTTCAAGTAGGAAAGTAAAACATGAAATGAAACGAAAATATGCTGATGTGATTGAAGACACAAGGCTTGTGAAGTCAGTTGTTTTTAGAATATATAAAGAATGACTTTTCTTTTTTTACCTCCGCGAAAAACAAACAAACCAACCAAACATAAAACAGCAGTTGCTCAGCAAGGCTCGAGTCAAGCTGTGAAATGAATCTGATGTTATATAATCATTTAAATACACACTGTATCTCTCCTGTTACTGTCTAAATGTGTATAATAGAGAGAGTGGTGGGGTGCCAGAGGAATAGTTTACAATTGTGCATTATAATGGCTTGCTCTGCCAAAGTGGAATCTCTCATTTATGCATTTGACTAAAACAAACCACCATTCAAGGGTTTTATCCCAGCAAACACTTACGGTTGTGAGACACAGTTTTAACAAGACTACCGATATTTATTTGTCCGTTTGGCCAGACCTCTTTGCAGATTCCAACGTAAACATCCAGACCGGAGCGTATCCCCCGCCTTCACACTCTTGATAGTGCCTCAAATGTAGACGAACTGACATATTCTATCAGGCGTTCCACAGACAGATGGTTCTGTTGCTATATGGGACTTCTCTTTGCATGCAAAAGTGTGAATTATCCTGATCCTTTTTATAGAAAATAATAATAATAACAATACTGAGATACTGGTGCTGATAAGAAAAGATATACAAGCATGAATTTGTGAAAATGAAAAAAAAAAAAAAAACATTTGCTCCAGCTACTTCGGATTTTCGAATTAGGAACGTGATGTTACATATCAGTCGCAAACCAAAACGGGACTGGAATTCTACTGTACATGGATCATTCCTGGACTAACTAAGAAAAAATTGAACATTTTCTACTCCCAACATCCAAGGGATCCTCAGAGCAAACCCCAAAACTCCCATCGAGCTTGTCCAGATGCGGACTAACAGGGATGTTAGAAACCGACGTTCGCCCCTAATGACTTCTTGGAAATAAACGTCAAAATGTCCTGAACTACATCGATGTTGCACTCACTGAGTTTGCAATGAGATTACCTACCTGAAGGGGAACATCGTCTTTTCCTTTTTTCTGTTCAAGTGGCCTTAACGTTCATTATCGAAACACTTGCAGAGTGGAGGACAACATAGGGACGTTTTTGTTAAAGCATCAATTTTTCGGGGGCAATTTTTGTGTTTAGGAGGTGGAGGCTCTATTATGTCAAGGCTTCAGTGCCTTAAAGTTTTGCCCCTTCGGTGTGTACGAAAAAAATTTGAACAAATTATTCGCATTTATGCAGGTTTTTATCAATTTATAGGAGCTCTGGTAGAATATTGTCTGTTTTATGGTTTGATTGTTACAAGTCACGACCTGGAGTTCAAACAGGTTCCATCAGTGTGTTCCGTTGTTTGTTTGATTACGTCGCTTGAACCCTGCTGTCCTACAAAGAAGCAACAAATTTAATTGAAAAAAAAGGAAGTTTCAACTGCAGTGCTATAGCAACAAAGTGCCCTAACTCTCAATTGAGATGTCCTTTAAGGACACATTGACAACATGCACTTCCCTTCTTCTCAGATAAATGACTTCAATGGACGATTTTTCCCTCTCCCCCAAGAAAATCATTATTTAATTTTTATATATGTATGAAATATACTCTGTGTGTGCCTCACCTATATGTACAACAGTAAAAAAAAAAGTGAAAATTTAAAAAAAGCATAGGAGATGTTCTGAGTTTTAGGATAGGGTAATTGAATAAGGGTGGACGGAGGGAATGGGGGGCATTTTCAATAGTTTGTTGGAGTTCTGATCACATCATTTAAGTTTCCTGTTCTTTCTTGTAGCCAATGAAAACTGATTACAAGAGTCAAGAAAAAAAAAACAATTTAAAATGTTCTAGCTATAGACCGGTGTAGCACATGTGTGACTGTATTAATTTATGAAACCAAAATGGTAACTGTGAATTATGTATTTCTTTGTGCTTTTTTTAAAGTGGGCGGAAGGCGGAAAAGGGACGTTGCTGTGCCCTGTTTTGTTTTTGTGGAATATAATGGAAATAATCAAGTAAAAAAAAAAAGAAAATATCTAAATATATTTTTTTCTTAAGCAATACATTTCAGTGTGACTTGTGATAGGACATTTTCTTTTTTTAGGTAATAAATTGAAAGAAAAAAAAATGTTTTGTGTATGTGTGACTCGTTTACTTTATCCCATGTGCAATTTGCATGTAATATATCTCTTACTATGAAAAGGGAGAGAGAGATTTGGGCCGCTCTACATAAGCAGCTACTCTAGGTGTCAAATATCATGTTTTGACATTAGCATGCTGTTAAGCTAAAAGCACAATACTCTTAATAAGCATAAAAATGCATTGTACACACAAATATTTGTTAAACCAATTTTTAGTAACTTTATCGATACGTTTCAGTACTGAATAAATTGTATGTTTATTTATAATCAAAAGTAGGCTACTTATGCATTGTCTGCCATTTTGGATTCATGTTTTCACTAATGCTGACATAACGTTGTCGGAAAGGCATATGCTAATTTGGCCAAAATTGGATATCTTATGAGGTAGAATAGCTAAAATGCATAACTTTTGGAATGAAATTTGTTTCAAGAACACGCATATGTTGCTTTAAAATGTTGTGTTTGTTTGCAAAAAAATAAAATAAAATGCTAATAGTAGCGCACTAGGTTTAAGAACAGAGCATTTATGTTTGTAGCTTGTGTAGTGCCACCTCAATGCACAATTTCTGTCTTTAGTTTATAATCAGTGTGGTGTATATCTGTGTACTGTATGGTGGAGTCTCAGAGCGACTGGGCGGTTTCCTGATGAAAGCTAGCTTTAAAGCGTACAGATTTATATGTGTCTGCTGTTCACTCAACCGCAGGGGTGCCAGATCAGAGCCGGATCGAGCGAAGTGACGGCGACTGAGACTCCAACACTCCCCCCATCTGTCAGGCAGTCCGTCCTCCTCCCGAGAGCTGAGACGAGATGACAGATTGAGGGTGAACGCAGGACTGGCTGGTACAGTAGGCAAGTGGTGCTCAGACACATGCTGTTTTAAGGAGAAGTCTTCAGCTCAAAGCTCCCACTCTCTCCCGAAGAACTGTGAATACAATTTCTCAGAACATAAGAGGAAGCCATCTGCAGAAAAATAAAAGCAACAGACAAGAACACTGGTTCTTGTTTCCAAACAAAAATTGGTTTTCAAATGAGGAAGATTACTAGCACACACCACGCACACTAATTCCAACTACTCTATTTAAAATCCCTGCCAGTGAGTGGGGTCATCTCACAAATAGTATGTGGGTGACTTCCCTCTGGATCTCTTCAATCTGCAATGCCAAACACAATTTTAAAACATCTTTCTTATATTTCATTGAGTGTTTTTAGCTCTGCTTTTATTGCTACAAGTAAATTGAAGAATGCACATGCATCCATGGATTTATATTTACAGTCAGGTCTGAAACCAAATTGAAAATATGGGACTCAAAATCGAATTAAAACTTTGAAAAAAACATAGTTTTAAGAAATACTTAAAGGGTTGGTTCAACCCAAAATGAAAATTCTGTCATTAATTACTCACCCTCATGTGGTTCCAAACTTGTAAGACCTTCGTTCATCTTCAGAACACAAATTAAGATATTTTCGATGAAATCTGAGAGCTCTCAGACCCTGCATAGACAGCAACGCAACTGAAATGTTCCCAGACAGAAACGTAGCAAGGATATCGGTAAAACAGTCCATGTGACATCAGTGGCTCAACTTCAGTTTTGCGAAGCTACGAGAATACTTTTTGAGCACAAAGAAAACAAAAATAGCATAATTTATTTTAACAATTCTTCTCCCCCGAGTTACGTCTTCCGCCATTTTGGAGAGTACCCAAGAGCGTAATCGATGTAATCAGCGTTGTATACTTTCGGAGGAGAAAGCGCGCGCATGAACGTAATCTGCGTAATCAGCATTGTTTACGCTTAGGGGAAAGCATGCGTATGCATTGTGATACTCTCTAAAATGGCGGAAGATGTAACTCAGGGGAAAAGAATTGTTGAAAAATTTTTATTTTTGTTTTCTTTGCGCTCAAAAAGTATTCCCGTAGCTTCTCAAAACTGACGTTGAGCCACTGATGTCACATGGACTGTTTTACCGATGTTCTTGCTACGTTTCTGGACCTGGGAACACTACAGTACTGCTGTCTATGCAGGGTCTGAGAGCTCTCACATTTCATCAAAAATATCTTAATTTGTGTTCCGAAGATGAACAAAGGTCTTACAGGTTTGGAACGACATGAGGGTGAGTAATTAATGACAGAATTTTCATTTTGGGGTGAACTTACCCTTTAAGAAATACGTTACA